GGAAAACAGCTAATGGAGCCGTTTGCTGCCTGCTCTCCCTCGTCCCTTCTGGGGCCGGCGTTGGGCATGGCATCTTAATAGCTGCGAGATCCGGCTAATCCCATCGCACCAGTGAAGTAGCCCTAAATCATCCCTGTCTGATTCCTGACTCCAAAGAGACATTTCATGGGTGATTGTGACTGATACAGTGTGCAGTAATGGATGTATTTAAATGGGATTTATGGGTGACACCTGTCACATAGACCCTTCCATCAGTGACAGGCTGGAGAGATTTACACAGTGACGCTGAGATGTGAGCTCGTTGTAACAGCTCCCTCAGTCACCGTCAGAGCGTTTGAGCCTTACAGCTTTTGTCAGAAGCACAAACTGGGCTGCTTTGGCCACTGTATGTTACGGCATTGCACAAAATTAGTGGCAAAGAGTTGAGTGCCTCTTGGCAGATTTCTTTAAACCTCAGAGCTCCACTTGCCTTTTCAGCAAACATTGTAGGAGGTGTTTTGATGAGCCATTGGTCACAAGAACTTCACAGGAGCAAGAAGCGCTCAATAAGGCCACTGCCACGTGATTTCTCCTCTCTCCTGCGTGTTCCCTGCCTTTCTCTTGTCCTGGTTCCCTGGTGACACTGGCTGAGGCTGTCACTCCAGGGGTCCCAGCCTGCTTGTACCCTCAGCTGTCGGGCTGTGTCCTCCACTCCTGCACAGTCCATTCAGTTCAGGTTCCTATTCTCCATTTCTCCACTTTTCTCCCTGCATCTCCAAGCTGCAGTGCAAAACGCTCTCCCCCACCTCCTCATTTACTTCATCTGCAGGCTCCACAGCAGACATCTTTCCCAGCCCCATCCAGAAAATCTTTCCTGCCCCTTCCCGCTGGAGGATTAGCAAGCATATCTGCAATGAGATTATTTCTAGGAGACCACTTATGCTGCCCTGATGCTAACTCGCAATGTCAGCTCTGCTCAGGCACAGCCAGGCTGCAGGAAGGTTCCAGGCATGATTTCTATTGTTTAAGATTTACTGGGGGGGGGAGGGGGGGGGAAGGGTTGGTAGATTGATTTATTTTTTCCTCATTGCTCTTCCCCCAAAGATCTGTCTTTTGCTATTTACGTGAAGCCATTCGTATCACAGCATACACACACGCACACGCACACACATGTATCAAGCAACTGAAGTCACCAACCAGTCTAAACACCTAAGCACGCACAATGTATGCAACACTTTACCCCTTGAGCTATCAAAGGTGGCTGGATGCTACCTTGAATTGACCTGTGGGAGTTGGGTCTGTGAGACATTTTCTCACCAGTGACATGATACATTTCTTGGTTCTTGGGCTTTCTTTTTTTTTCAATATATATCTTTATAATTCTGCCATAAGGCAGCCATGGATTTGTAAAATTAGCCTGTCATAACAAATTCATGTCCTCATCAAAGGCTGCCGTTGTGCTTCCTCCCAGACTGGAGCATTCACAGACTAAAGCTGCATTATCACAGTAATTTCAAAGTTCAAGAGTGTATTTTCAAAAGCAATTGCTTTTAAATACAGTTTGTTACATAACAGCAAATTTAGAGTTACACTTACCTCAAAACAAAAATGAAATTCTTTAAATAATAAGTCAGCTCCTGTTCACTTGTGTCTTTGCTCTTTCTGCTCTAAAGTGATCCAGTTGCCCTTGGTGGCCCTGGAAGAGCAAGGTTAGAAGGACTATGCAAGGGCCTTTTACCACAAAGAGGAAAGTGGATTGCACATTTTTGATCTCTCAAAAGTTAATCTTTCACATGACTCTCAGGCCTGAATGAGAACCTCTTCTGCAGAGAGGTCCAGGGTGGGCCGGAATTGAGAGTTATAGAGGGTTATGCCAGAGGCTAGGGTTTGAGGAGAAGGGGAAGCTGTGGGTTAGGAATGATAAGGACATTAATGGAAACCTTTCTGATCAATAAATCCCCTATCACTAACCCAGCAAGCCTCCTCCTTCCGATGCAGTACACCATGTTTTTGCTTCTGGATGAATCAAGCCCCCCTCTTGTCAGGGTTGAATGTGTTCTCCTTGAAAACTTGTGCCCTTGCATTTCCTTGTCTCCGTGTTCTCCTGATTTCCCTCCTGGCTCCACAATTGTTCTTTCACAAAGTTGGTCAGAAAACTGGCCTCTTCAGCCAGGACAGGGTGCTGGGCCATCTTGCCTAGACTGTGCTCTTACCTAGAAAGGTTGGACCAGATGATCCTTAATGCCCTTTCCAACCTAGGATTCTATGATTCTATGATTTCCAACGGAATGTCCTCTTTGGCCATTTCTTGCCCACAAAGAATAGCTCAGCCTCCCTCTCTACTCATGCTCTGCACATCCACCTCTCTACCCCAGACAGTCTTGCCTGAGATTCATCTCATTTTCTGGGGAGATGTGGAGTTTGGACGTGTACAGCTCAGCAAGCCACTGTGAGCATCCTTGGCTGGAAAGAGAAAGGAAGACCTTGTTGACCGCAATTCACCTGACCTGTCTGAGATGTCTGCTTTAGGTAGTTGTCTTCATAAATATCCCCCAGACCACCTCCATACCACTCTGCAAATCCACGCTGAAGACTTCCCTTTCCCCTGGCAGCCACCCACAGGTCAACGGTACATCATAACCACCATCTATCACATTAACCGATAAAGTCAGGCTGTTTGCTTGTACTCCCTCCTCTGTCTGCGCTCCCTATTTTATTTTTCCTTGCTTTATTGTTACGCTGTATGTTTCAGAGGTGCTGTCTTCTAATCAAATTCCTAGGTGCAATCAAAATAATAATAACAATGATGTTGATGATACACATTTCCAATTAGTTGTGACAGATTTTTGATTGGTGAATCTACACAGGAACATGCTGGCTAATAAGTGTTCAGATGAGTTCCCACTGGAATCACTAGGAGATTTTCCTTTGTTTTTCACAGGTGCTAGCTTGTCTTGTAATACAATTTGAGGACACAAGCACTGAGCCCTGTTACTGCTGAATCAACACTGACATGCCTATTGGCTTTTGTGCGAACTCTGGTCAAAACAGTCAGGTTTGGGAGCCTAAAGGCACTTTAACTCAAGATGCTGATTATCCCAGACTACCATCTATGTGCAAAGACGTATAATATTTTATACAAACATGAGCTGAAAAGCTGCAGGAATTTGAGCCTGTAAGCCAGCACTTACCCTGCGTTTAATTAAGGTTACCTCTTCATTTGTCTTTTCCCTTGTGGGGTCTCAGACAGCAACAATCCAAGTGAATAGAAGATGCTCTTAAGTTAACCTTTCTTTTCTTGGCAGTTTGGGAAATGATAGCTTATTGATTGCAAATAAATTCCTACTCGAAGTTACAATGTGTAAAGAAACAAACTGTAACAGATTTAGAGCTGTGCTGCTTTTGGCTCAGGTCCCCTTGCATGCTGGGGTTAGATTGGTTTATCCAGACCCTTTGCATAAAATATGCTCAATAACCAGCAGAGATAATGGTAGAAGAAATGGTGTTCGGGCTTTACAAACAAGCAGGCAAGCAGCATGACTGACGTGGCATCCTTTGGGAAGGGTGGGTGTTGAGCACCATTGAAGTGTATAGAAATAGATGCTGATTTTTGAATGGGAACTGCTGCGTTTTGACCACAGGGCTTGGATGATGTTGAGGTTTGAGAGGTGTTGAGATGCTCCTGGTTCTACTCAGTCTGTGGGAAGTGGGGAAAGCGTAAAGAAGTGGGGAGAAAAAAGGCAAAATTCGTTCCCAGGATCACCATCACAAACACCACTGGCCCCTTGCACAGTGGTGAATCTCACCCAGTAGCACTGTGCTTTACACAATGTTTTCAAATAAGAGAAAATTTCCCAAGAGGCTTCCAGGCCCAAGAGAGTACATTGCTGCTGTGTTTTGGGAATAGGAAAAGCTTTTTCTGTGCTCGACTGAAAGCATCCACAGGCTTGCCGCTGGAGCCATCATGTTGGCTTTTCATGACGGGCAGACAGCTGTTGGCCATTCAAAGAAAAGTTCACAGGCCTCTCAAGTTTTATGTCTTTGCTAAGGGCTGATTCAATCACAGAGGAAACAAAATATTGGCTCTTGGCTGCCAGTCACTCCTTGCCTAATCAGTTCATCATCCAGTTACGTAGGAGCCTTACTGTTGCATAGAGGTGAACCAAGACTAAATAGTGAGTAATAAGGAGCACATAGTGAAAGCAAAAGGCTGAATGTCTTAGCATAAAGTTCACAGGATGAATTAATGAATGATTTTCATAGAGAAACAAGAACTATATTCTCAAAGGAGATTACTCACAGTGAACAATTCGATCAGATCCAGCCCGAAGAAAGGAAAAGGGTATAAAAGAATAAATAGTCCTTCTCCAGAAGGAAAGGCTATTATATTAATACTGCAATGTCTTAATGGTTCACATGAGGACCATTGTTACCAAGTGTATTTATTAATAGCCTGGATGCCTGAGCATTCATTTCAATGCATGAGCAGTGAAAAGAAAATTTGTGGATAAATATGAAACTATATGTAATGGTCAAGTCTTGAAAGCTCAGGAAATTCCGCAAGTTCCATCATGGGGCAGTGTGGTGGCTGAACAAATGTGGTGCATAAAAGACAAATTAATGGAAATTGGAAGGGACAATCTGAACTATTCATGTCCATTAATGGTTTCTAAATTGACTGCAACTGCTCAATAAAAGCTCATCATCAATGTGAAAATGCAATGAGAACATCTGCTTGGTGTGCAGAAGCTGTCAAAAAGTAAACAAAGTTTGTGAGCTAATAAAGGGAGCAAGAAAGAAATGCAATCAAACACGGTCTGGGAGGGTCACACTGCCAGAGACCTCCTTGCTTGGTGGCTCATTCCCAGCTCTCACAGCACCGTGCTGCAAAACCGCCCTTGCCACCTCCTCTAGCTGAAGGCAGCAGGAGTTTGAACAACAGATTAGCCCCAAGAGAAGGCTTTGCCAACCTCAGTCCACTGATGTTCGGGAGCAGTCCTTGTTTTCCAGCCTGGGCGCAAATGTGCGTACCTCTGTCATAAGGTCAGGTGTCCTCCTGCACAAGGGAGGTTGTTCACACATCCCTCGTGTCTCACCTTGATCCTCCATCAAATCAACTCAGGATGGCAGGCAACAGCCCTGTGCACTGTGAATACCAAAATAACAGCCACCATGTGGGGACCATCCAAAAAGCTCTTCCAGAGCTGGCATCTCCAGCCTCACCCTTGCTGTTGGCCTCAGGACCCAGTAATGTCCTTCAGCACACCAGGTGCTTTGTCATCCTTTAATAGTACTAATTGCCTGATTATCTGCTCAAGCACTGTGGTGAAGCATTTTAATGTTTTAATCTCCACTTCCCTGGGCTCCTTCCTTTGGAAAATAAAAACCTGTCACAGGGAGGTGAGTTTTTGATGCTCGCATGGAAAGAAAACCCCACCACGCAGCAGCGAATCCCAGGCGGCGGCACCAATCTCGCGTCTCATCCTTTTCCACGTGGATTCCTCCATCAACCTTTCTGCTTCTGCCATCTCTGCCTGCATTGCCTGTGGAGCTGTTGAGGCTGGGCCTGCAGTGGTTTTCACAAGTCTTTTCTCCCTCCCGCCTCAGCCAACAACAAACTTCACGTTTTCTCTGTGAGAAAAGGCTCTTACCTCACCTGCCCCAAAGCCTGAATGCCCCAGAGTTGCCTTCACACCAGCGCACTCTGTTTGAATTGGGTGTTTGCAGCTGTGGTTTGGATTATAAAACTTTACGTATGATTTCACCAGACCCTGAACTTTCGCACTGGCTGCCCGCACCGGCTGTTAGAGCACCTGTCAGCAAACACTTGCACGTTCTCCAAGTTTCCTGCTCCAAAATCTTCCCGTAGCCTAAGCCTACCACTGTGGACATGGATGTTTGGCAGAATATTTTCCCTTGGAGTACAGCTTGTCTTCAATCACCTTCCATGTAGTGCAGCACTTAATACAAGTCACGTAGCTCTCTTCCTTTTCAGCTGATACACATAGTAAGTTAAAATGCAATCTTATGCCAATTCCATAAACAAGCTTCCAGCTAGCATTCTCTCCCTAATGTCCTCTGCTCTCTGCTTGGGTACTTAAAATCTTCCATTACTCTGCTCTCTCTACATATTTTATTGTTTGTTCAAATCACCTTCCAGGCCAGCCCTTTTCTCCTGCATAGAAAAGGAGAGATGCTTTTCCCATCTTCCCATTTACTGCATACTTATCTCATAAAGTATGTTGCTAAGCACGTACTCACAGTAGAGCCTTTCAAATAAAACTGATGCATGCAAAATATCATACAGGTAGCAGTGATTACTGCAACAAGGAAGGTCCCAGTTCTGCATAATTCCGCTGGCTTTGCTGGAGCAACTCTTCATACAAACCAGAGTAGATGGGAAGTGTTCCCAGCACTGGCTGCATTAGAAGTTGTTGTTTTCAGGTGCTCTTAATAGGTTTGCAGAATGTTGTCCTTTGGGCTGAAATTGCCTATAATCAGCACCTATCCCACAGTGATTTTTCCCTTGTTTTGAATGTTTGAGCAGAATTAGGAGGGCTGCTTTTGATACGGTGAAGAGCACAAAATCTTGTTGGTTTTTTTTTTTAAATCTTTCTGACCTTTTTTTCTTGGCAGCTCTACAGCTGAATTGGCTGTGGTTTGAAAGATGCAATTTGGCAGGAAAATAGCCCTCATTGGGGAGCAGTGCAAGGCTTGGTATTGCAGAAAATTGGGTTTGATTTGCCCATGCTACAAGTATTCAAAAATTGCAATCTGACCGTATGCAGTGAAGGGTTTTTGCTAAGCTTATTAAAGGACATGGAGACCAGGGAATAGGATCTGCATGTCTGCCGAGCCAGGAAGCAAGTGCATTTCTGAGGGACAGACGGGCAAGGAGAGCCCAGCGTGGCAGAGCGGGATGCTCTGCTCCTTCCCTCAGCACCACTGTCTGCAGAAGGCGGGAAGGGATACTTCGGGAGAGGGGAAGGAAGCAAGAGCCACGCACAACCTGCCTTTAAGTCCCCAAAAGCATTTTCTCCAGCCTTGTACCTATGGTTTGATTTTGCATGTTGAAGCATCTGATCTCTGCATCCTGATGCGTGTAAAACCATGCTTATTGCCACGCACATGAACTATACCACTACTTTCGATGGCTTTTTTCTGGTTATTTAGGATCTTGCAGGATCGGATCCGTGCTGCATGATGAAATGAGACTTTTCCCTAGGCTGCCTCCAAGCCTAAACACTGGTAAAACTGAGTCCACAGCAATAAACATGATCCGTATTTCTGAGCCATTTTAAACCAGAAAGGAGATTTTCCACAAACTTCCTCAGCTATAAGGATTCTTCAAATCCTCTTCACTCCCTTCAAATATTAAATCTTTCTCATGCAGACACCAGGCACAGCCCATTTCAAAAAAGCAGTGCACAGAGCTGCAGGAATACTGGCAAATCATATTCACGTGCACATTCTCTGGAGTAGTTGTGGGACAAAAATGAGGATTTTTTTAAACTTTGCGGGTGAACTGACTAAATCAGTGGAACAGAATATTTGACTAAAATAAAAACATCTTTGGACCTGGAAACTGGAAATCAGTTTGTAGCAGTGATTTCTGATAGACAGTTGTACTGCATGAGCAAATGCTATGCTTAGGGAAAAAGGATCGAGAGATAGGATGAATAAGAGATATAGTTCCTAACAGCTGAACATTGAAAACCACAGACCTTCTGAAACATGGTGCTGGCCCTCCTGGACTGGTCTGCTATGGCGTTGTTTTCTTTGTTACTAAACTGCATTTTCTTAACATAAGCAATTTCTTTTTTTATTCAGGGCCAGTTTCAAGAACCCCGATTCACACTGGTTTGTGGCTTACTCTGAAAATAT